CAGGTTACAGACTGCCCACATCTTGGTCGCTTTCACCCAACAGAGGACTGGGTGAAAAGGGTTCTGCGATACACATGGTCCTCCGGTATGCACAGTTCGTGTCCTAACCAGCGTAACCTGAAGTTTTGGTCCATCGTAGGCTAATTATCTTTCCTTAAACCTGATGTATCTCAGGTTTGTTGGCCCGGTGTTCCCGTCAAACCCGGCCAAAGTTTCTGAGACGCCAGTGGTCCAATACTGACACTTCCGCACATCCGTGTTCGTAGAGGTCATAGAGTCCATAGATGGATCGCATCGCAGCGGTGTAAACTCTGTTCTTGATGGACTTACTGACCTCACGCCTGCGCCATCGGTGTCGGAGGTCAGCAGAAGCTGCGCGGCTTTCCCAATTCGATAAGTAATCTTATATGCAACCAGTCCACCTATACTTATACAACTACCCAGGTAAACGAATTTATCTGCTCTCTGGATTGACCCTTCTGCAAGTATGTGGTTTGGGTTAGATCCCCTTTCATAAGAGTACTGTTGGTAACCCAGCAACTTCTTCGGCCGACGAAGATTCCAGGATGTTGGCTACAATAGTGGCAATGAGAACTAGACAGTTGTCTACAAGCGTGTGGGTGCTATGCATGATGAAAATGGGGAGAACGGGCAAGCTTCCGGCGAGATTGGAAAGTATATGTTGAAAGGGACTTAATAGACGAGCCTTGATTGAGGTTAGTTCGGGTAATAAGTAATCGTACTCTTATTTTCTATTGCCCGGAACAAAATAGGAAGAATATCCTCAAGATGGTCTAGTGGGAACATCGGATTAGCAATGCTAGGGGACACCAGATAGTTGGAGTAAAAACGAACTCTCCCACGGTGAACGATCTGCCTGTGCTTAGTAGCTTACGCTGATTAGGATATGCACTTCGCATGCCTGATGACCCTCTACCTCGCAAAGCTCTTTACATCCAGCCCTCCGCTGAGTAGAAGCCACCAAGACGTGGACAGTCTGACTTGACAACGTAGTACAAAACACTAACAAGTAAACTCAGTCGGGTCGACAACTGTCGCCTTCTTGGATGGGGACCCCGGACTCAACTCATTAGTAGTTTATGATACTCGTAAACATGGTCAACTCACGCAGTCAGTGGTTCTTGCGCATCTCTGCTATCACCTTCAATACGTATCTGCTCAGACCAAAAATTAATCATACCACCATATCCAACGCATGGCTTTGTCTTCCTCGCTCTCGTATTTTTCGATGCCGAAAGTGTAGCAGCTGGGAGCAACACCCTTGGTAAATGGCTTATAACTGCCTTCATGGATGCTGTTCGTATATCCAATTCTCAGTGGCAACGACGCGAAGACAGGAATGGTTGAACGATTTGACTAACTAATGCTTACCGGGTTTGGGCAAATCGGGTGGATGCCATTCGTGGAAGTTTTCTGAACCCCTTGGCAACTGTGTTAGGGTCACTTGTGAATCGACATTACAGAGCATACGACGAAAAATAGGCATCCCAATCGGCTAATATTGTCACTGGTTGTACGCTGATAGAGCAGGGGAAATTGTGTAGACATAGTCAATCGGGGCATGGGATGGAGGCAGACACTATAATGAATAGGAGGTGGTGAGAAAGAGGTCGTCATGATCTGAGATACGAGTAGGTAAAGACACTCAGGTCTGTCAAAAGTACCACCCTGTCAAAAACCGCAGGTCCCTATATGTACCAGTGTTCTGTGGAACCATTCAATAGGATTTTTATGGATCCAAAGATCACTGTTTTTGACGGCTATCATATCTTAGCACGAAGTCGATTAAGTTATCTGCTTACCTGGGCAATGTTAGGTGCCCATGCATCTTCTGAATATATGCACTGTGCCTTTTACGATCGCTCGTGCTTCATCGCTTCTCAACTTTATTTCAGGCCCCTGTCGGTCGAGGCGGCTTTAATCTTGGCACCAATGACCCCCGTTGGGTGAACGTAAGTACTCCACGGACCACTCGCGGTGTAACCAGGTGAGCTTCCATTTTTAATCGTTTGTACTGATGCTTCACGATTCCTGCTCATGACGGGGTCTGCAGATGTTGAGTTTCTCCATGGAACTAACTCGAGGCGCGAACGTACTAAGAAAATGATCCGTGGTTAGAACCCAACCTCGGCATCCTGACTTATCCTGTATGAGCTTAGGCAACTTTACGGTAACTCAATCCTAGTGGTTTCTTTCGGTGGCATAGCAGCTGTGCACCAAAAGGGCGCTTCAGGCGGACAGTTATCATTATTTAATTTGCCTAGTTGTTTATTTTTTTTATTTGTCGTATATGCCTACGCCCCTGACGGACTGTAGTTCTGGGACTGAGGAGGATGGGTCTTTCCAGGTCCGTCGCGATTGCCTGGTTCAGCAAAAAGGATGGATAGAGAAATCCTGGCGGGTGACGTGAATGCTCAGTTCGAGCTACTAAGCCCGGAAGGACAATCGGGGTAGAGTTGGAGTTGATACCCAGCTTACGGATCATGGGGAGCTGCCGCTCCAGTTGTGTGCTGATCATAATCTGTTCCTGGCTAGTATGAACTTACAGCACAAACGCTCGTATCGCCACCTACCACAATACTGTCTTGGACTCATTTGGACCATGTAGCTGCTAGTTGCCAGTCGTTCCTTCTAGAGTACGCAGCTTGAATCTGATCATGCCACTGTGCGGGCCTGATCATCAGTTCGCTTCCCATCAGCATTATACGCCGCTACAACAAGTACGCGGTTATTACAGCTGACGATGATGATGCACCCCGAAGCAGACCAACTCCATTTAATTTTCAGTAGCTTGAGAGTATCGAGCTGACCTGGCTAGAAAACTGCTGGAAAAGCACAATCATACAGATGACGTGGATCTCTTGGAGGTTGAATGGAAACGAGTGGAAGAAGCTATGCTCTCCGCTTTTAGAGCTGTTTGTCCAAACCACGCGACTCAGATGAATGAACAGTGAATATGCCAGAGAGGCCATACCACCAACTAGCGACTTTGATGGTGCAGCAAATTTCTGAGGAAGGCCCAGGAGATGGAGAAGGCTTCTGCTGCAGGCGGTTCGATCACCTGGTTTCAGCTAAACGAGTGCGAAAAAGACGGAACGGCAATTCACTGAGATAACGCCGTCTTAAGCGATCGGCTGAACACTTTGGGAAGTTGAATCAAATCAGCAGTGTATGCTGACTGGCAGAAATGGCCCAATCGCGCAGTCAGTGGAGCTTGTGCATCAAAGCTATCGCCTTCAATGCGTAGCTACCCAATTTCCGAACAAACTGACCATGTCTTCGCCTCCAAGGCTGGATTGTATATTCCGCTTTCCCGTTTTCCGGTGAACGAAACTGTAGCAGCTGGAACCAATGCGTCTATGGTACTCGGTTTATACTTGATAAATTGAATTGACTAAGGAAAGACCGAAAGCTCTGGTGACATAGAAAGCTCGGGAGATGGAAAAGGCTTTTGCTACGGGAAACAGTCGTGCCCTATATCAGTTGTTACGACCGACTGGCCCTAGGAAGGTGACGGTCAGTGAAGCGATAAGTGAAAGAGATGGCTCATTAATCCACTAGCAAAAAGTAGACTGGAATGATGGGCCGAACAATTCGAAAAACAGTTCAGCTTGTCTCCTGCAACACAGCTTGTGGAGATAGTGCATACGAAGAATGGAATGTAAACTTTGATCGCCCATCGGAAGAAGAAATAAAGCACAGAATATCCGTCCTAAAACGTGAGGATCTGAGGCTTATCATAGTGTGACGGTTTGTGTCCCAGCCTGTTTAACTGAGGTGTCTACATAGCATGGGACCCAACGGTTAGGGCGCGAAACTACTGACCGGAAAGCCCGTGGTTCGAACCCATACCTGGCTTTTCGGCTTCTCCGGTCTATGTTTGGGCAACCTAATTGCACTTCAACCTCTGTGCTCCCTTCGAGTGACATGTAAACTAGCTGCCGAAAGGGTGTTATGGCTGAAAGATTTTCTTTTATTGTACGCATGTTATTGGCAACGGGACGATGAGAGATAAGAACGAATATGTGAAAGAGAAAAGGGGGCGTCATAGAGTATGGATCGCATCGCCGCAGCGTATACTCTGCCTTTGACGGATAAACTCACACCACGCCGGCATCGTAGGTATCACAGGTTAGCAAAAGATGTGGGCTACCAGATTTTACATTTTATCCAGTCGGTCCACCAGAACTGAATAAACATAACTGCCACGTCCATTGCCTGGTCTTTGTGCATAAGTTTCGGGTTCGACCCCACTCAGCCTTTTAGTAGTAGTTTGCACTTTACAGGTGTGAAGCGCGTATAATGCGATGCGGCGGGATTATTTAGTTTACTTGAAGTGGATGGCATATTTGTAGATGCTGAACTGGGGTGAGCATTAGCATTTGCGTACTCTATCTGTGAATGAACGCCCCAGAATTATTTCGACCCACAAGATTTCAGAAGCAGGCAGAAGCTTCAAGCGGTACATCAGTAACAAAGTTGAGGAGGGTTGGTCAGAGAGGGAGCCTTGGCGTACACCTCGGGTATGGTAGTCTCGAAGAAAAAGTTGCTTGGTGCCCACAGCAGTTGGTATATAGTGACCTGCCGGATAAATATTTGGAAGGAGCACGTTTCCGACGATGCATAGGTTTGAAAACGACTTTTAGATCGAGAAATATGACCAAAGTAGGGCTGTTGAAAGTATGGTGCTGTTTTGCAACTTATCTAAGGGTCAGGATGTAATCGATGCATCATCGGTCATAGGAAACTGCGACTTGATTCTCACGAGTTTGTCTGCCTCTAGTTGATCACCCTTAACAGGATCATGGCAGAGATCACCTTGGATGCCACAGCTACGACGTTTATCGCACGATGGTCTTCGCGTGTCATTATTGCGCCCGTTTTTCAAGGCTGAGCTCACTATCGGAGTGCTTTGTTCCAGCAGCATTCTTGTTCCAAGGCTTCCATATTAGGGTCAGTGTATTGCCCACTAGGGCTTCATCACCTTTGAAAAGTGCTGGGTGCAAACCAGGGTAGTTTGTCGCTTCTAGAGGAAACAATATTTCACGCTAGACTTAATTTGCAATAGGCGGGCTCGTTTCTTTGTTGCACTCGGGCTCCTAGGGTTGTTTTATGGACTGTATGAAGGAGGCCAACTGGACTGATGCTTAGTGTCCATCCCATCGCTCAAGACGCGATTTTTTCAATGGACTGCGTCCCATCTTTTTCGCAATGTTTATGTGTGGTGAAATCTAATGAAACCTAGTGAACAGCACTCTTGACCTTCAGTGTGGCAAGGACCAGCATATGTGAGTCTTTTCCTTGTCGACTGGCTCAGTGAATTGTGAAAATCAAGTAGAACGGTAGGTGTTTATTGTCGAGTAGATTCGATAGCCCGACTCGAACATGGATCAGGACGGTGCTTGCATTCTTTTACAGTAAGAGCAATCATCTAGGATCTTCCATTGCCTCTTTTTAAACAATACTCATTATTGTTAGTGCTCTGATGGCATTTAATTTTAACTCTACTTTCCAGAAAGCCAGTTGGACCCACCGTTGGGCACCTCCAACCTGCCGCTTTGGCAATACCTCAACCCACAGCCTTGGCACCAGCAGCCTCCGGTTTACTGTCTTTAGGCACCAGGTACACACCCTCCTCCGCGTCAGCCTTCGGTGCGAATGCGTCCGTACCTGCTGGTGGAGCTATCGTTCCTTCATCCGGAGCAGCTACAGGGCTCATGTCCGCGAATGTTAACAATATGGGGCTTGAACGAGACCCCAACTACCGCCTGGCCGCTGCTATTGCGGGGACCGGGGGGCGTGGACGACCTAGGGGAAGACGCCCACTGAGGGTTAGTTTCCCACTGTGGATTAGGGTTCTAATGATTATTAATTCTAAAAGAGATTGCTTCGAATAGAATGGAGTGCTAAGTTTTCACCGGATGATTTCACGATGTTCGACTATGCAGACTCAGCAACCTTGGCTGACGTCGTTGAGTGAGGTAACATAAACAGATGTGTCAACCGTGTAAAGTGGTTTTGTATCGTCACATGAGATGGATATATTCTATGCCGAGTTTCTCCAGCTTTAAAGAGTTTACTGACTGCATGTTAGTTCTGGCACAAATCTCCTTCAGCTAACTGTTGGCGGTAACCAAACATAGTCTACTGTCGTCAGTGAGTTTTTTGCCCATTTAGTTTTGTTGAAATCATTGCCGAACGAAGAGACTGGACCTTATCGTGGTGTGACGGTTTGCACACCTCAGCGATCCATTGAGCTGTACTTACAAGTGTCCCCGTGACACTCACAGAGTCTCATATCAGGTTGGTCAATGGTTAGAGGTCTCCTGGCCCTCCAGGTTGTGGGTTGGAACATGTGGCGACTTGTTTCGTAGAAATGGACAAACTGAGCAAGAAAGAGAATCATTGTATTGGAGAACAGGCTTACCACTGATTGCCTCAGGACTATCAGCTCAGTGTTGTGTACTCAGCCCATTTTATTTACTACGACAACAGGTTCAGATGATAACAATGATGAACCGACACTCGGTTATCTTTGTCTCAGTTTCTCATCGTATCGGAACAGCCGTATCTCTCACTCTTCCGGTATTACTTAATTTCCAGGGCCAGTTCCCTGTCGTCCCAATCGACATGGTTCGTCAGCTGGGTATTGAACAACAGGTTATTCTGCAACCTGCGGCCCCAGTTGCAATGAGGAACAAAGCAGTTCTTTGTCGTCCTTTGTCAATGTGTCGCAAGATACAAGCGACGCCTGTCCAGTTTGATCAATCGGCGGAAGATTCTGCAGCCCTTATTCGGGCGAGTGACGTTAACGATACCTTGCTACGGAAACAACAACGCAAACCGGACGCTCAACCAATAAAGATTGAGGCTTCTTGTCAATATGCAGACGCCTCAGTTTGCACCGATTTGGCGACCGACAAAACGCAAAAAAGACGGAAGACGCTGGATTCTGGCACGTGTACCCTGCCGTCCGTTAGTTCAGTCCATGTGGGCTTACAAACAGGTAGGACTGGTATTTTTTTTTAGATAGCAAGCCTTTTCAGCATGAAACTTCGTACCTTGCTTTAGCGCCTTACCATTGTATCTGTTACTAATACTTCGTGTAATCTCGCTTTCCTTAGATGAATCCGGATTAAAAGAAGCCCACGAACGAATACAATACCTCCCGATCCCGATTCCTGTTCCCGTACTGGTTCCGACCCCAATTTGTTGGTTCTCCCATCCCGTTCCTCTTCTTGTGCCGTTCCCAATGCCATGTGTTATCCCGCTCCCAGTCCTTGCCGGAAAACCCGATGCAGGTTAGTTCTACAAACTAAGGCCTAACCTTCACCACATATATCTTAAAAAATACAGTTCCTCTTGATCACATCTGGCTCCAATGGACTCTCGGAAGAGAGCTCTCATCCCTCCGGAGGAAAACGGGCCGTTCCATTCAAATCTGTCTTTACACTACGGGTAACCGCACTTCCGCATCCCCCAAAAGCTAGTGACTCCCCGTTTTCTTTGTATTTAGCGTTTCTGGGACACTACAACTATGCCATTGTGCAAAATTTCATTAGCCTCAGCTTAAGGGTACTTACTGATTGCAACTACAAAATTACTTTTTTCTCACCTGTAGTTGATATATTGGAAACGGAATCTCCTTCTCTGTGCGTTGATGACACAACCAACGAATTGCCAACCGAGTTGGATCGTCCTCAGAGCCCCCTCTTAGAAGTTGACGCACAACTGGAAGAAAAGTCAACCGAATCTGATATGTCTGAGAGTGAATGTGAGACTCCCAACGAAGTAGCTGAGACGGAGACAACCAGGATCGTGGAAAAGGTTTGCAATTCTGTCCGAATTTCTGGTTTGATATCTTCGTTAGTCTTCGATTATTGTCTTTTGTTTCACCACAAACCACTTCGCACAAATAGCACGACGATTTTCTGCCAGTGCATAATCTAATTCGTCTCGGTATATTGCGGCAAGGCCACCGCATCAGAGTTCATGAAACTAGTGTTGGCGCTGCAGAATGCCATCACGCGGAGAACTAATTGCTCAATCGTGATATGATCCTGATCTCATTTATATCACTCGCCATATGAAGGCCTTTTCCGGCAACGTGTACAACCAAACGCAAGGGGGACCGCAACAACAGGATTACACCAAATGGCAACTTGGTAATACCAACCCACCCAGCTGTTACAGTCTTATTCTCCAGGGTGAATAATCAAGGTAGAGGGCAGTCATGCGTTGAGTGGACGCTTTTTCATCTGTTGTGGATTAGGTCAGTCATGAACGATTATTTTCTTGCTAAAAGGCGGCTAACTAGGTAGTCCGGTAATGTGTGCCATTCGTCGTTAGTTTCATCCAGATGTTCACGTACGCGATAGTAGTCAACATAACTGGTTCTTTTGACAAGGACATTTGTACTACGTCGTCGATTCATACTTCATCACCTTTGGGTAGTTCACAGTTCTCACGTGGCTGTTGGAAAAGTGCGTCTTGAGGTAGGAGTGTGTCAAACACAGTTGGTTTTCTTTTGGAAGCGCTCTGACATAGTCTCATTATGGGCTCACTTTTTCTACCAAAAATGTGTCTTATGAGACGGTGGTCTCTAATTGCAGCTTTTTATACTATACTCTTGACGGACAGGTTGATGTCACGGCGGCTCCGCAAGTGTCATCGATTAATAATGATAATAATAATAATTGTTCAGCTGTAGCAACCTTTCGGTGCCTAACTGCTATGCCACCCGAAGGTTGCACGAGGGCTGAGATACTGCCAGGTTGCCCAAGCCTAGACAGGTTTTTAGTCGATCCCACCCGGTCCCACAGCAACACCATCTCCTTTTCCTTGGTTACACAATATCGTTTCACAGGCTTGAAGTACATACCAGACATGGTTTGTGTTATTCCGTTTTATGCATACTTATTGCTCGCGTCATCCTCGATGCTTAAGTTTTTTGAGAAGTACTGCCCTAGTATGAATAGCTTTAGACCCCTATGCAAAGCGATCAAGCACGTGGTGCCCAAACTTGGGACAGTAACGAGGTAAACGTAGCTGAACGTCATCGATTGGACTGACTTGATATCGTTTGCGAACCTTACTCATCATGAGCCCAACAAACAATACAAGAGTAATCGTTCAGGTGTAACACCCTAGCTGTTACGCAACCCGCATTCTGTATTCAGATACGTAGCAACGATAAAGTATCAAGAGTTCGCGCAAGAGCAGCTTGAGGGCTCAAGTATTGAATGCTGCAAACCTGTACCATAGTTGGCAACCAGTTACTTCCCTTGGTATCTGAGAGAGTAATGAAGCAACGGAAGTCACATGCTTTCCCTTAATCGCCCCACGTTACATAGCAAGCAAGGTGACGGGACTGATCTAACCACGTGACGCTGTGATTCATAGATTGTGAGACTGTGAGGGCGCCCAAATCTTCCCAGGAGAGCGAATAAAGCCTTTGGGTTTTATCAACGTGATTTTTGGTTGTTTGGAAGGGCTTGCCCCCAGATACCCCGTAATTTTCCGCGTTGTGCGTTTCGTTTTTCCGGGTTGTTACACGAATGTTAGACACTGGTTTACTAGTATCCATGTCGTTCTAGTTTGGCCCTTTGGTGTCGGCAATGTTTTGCCTAGGCAACTAACAGGCAAATAATTACGATGTGTTATTTGTCGGTCGATCAAACTTCTGATTGTGTTCTTTCGGCAGGTCACCGTCCATCCCACCGAGCGAGGCTTGAAACGTGCCGCCAGCTCGCCCGAACGTGAGGAAGAACCAGATGGATCTGAACCCATTTCCGAAATTCAAAATGAAGACCCTTCTTTATTACATGCATCCCCTTCCCTCGAATTAACCCGAGAGAATGTCCCAACCACCCTTGTCGCTGAGCCGGTCGCACCTCCAGCGAAAAGGCCACGTCACACGGTTGTTGTTTCTGATGTAAACTATCATCTCAAGTTCTCCTATGGTATCAATGCTTGGCGCCATTGGGTGCAGCAAAAACTGAATAGCTCGGGCGGAGTTTCTTCAACACAACAATATCCCTATCTCAAGACAGAACTGCTCAACATGTCAGAAGCTGATCTGAACACCACGCTGAGTCAGTTTGTTCGAGAGGTTCGTAAGCCGAACAACGAGTGCTACGTCGCGGACTCCATCTTCTATCTGTGTTTAGGTCAGTCCTGTTGTTTCCTCTTCGACTTTATTTCGCTTTCTTCGTTTTGTATCCAAATGCCTCACTGCGTTTGTAATCCACCTATATACTTGAATGAAGGCTTCATTCAACTTAAGACGAAATACGCTCGTCTAAGGCTGTGACCTGTTCGGTGCGCCTTTTTCACTAAAATGTGTTACACAACACCTAGTAGGACGGCGAACTCATCAGTTCCCTTGCTGGCGGTAAAAGCCACCCAGAGTTTAACCCCCCTTTGTCGATGAAGTTGCTGAATACGTGAATGTCGGACCGGTGTAGCTGTCATATGAAACTGGCAGTTAGGTTGCATTGGTCTGTTTGTGAAACTGCACAACATTGTTGGTTCGTGTTTGGATCATACTGATTGCAAGAGTGACACTGATGAACAGGTTGCCCTCTAACTGACATATGTATTCGAAAACGTTTGGTTAGCCTTCTTGATCTGCCATGAACAGTATTCGGAGTTGTCACCACAAATGTATAAGTCGCACACTGGAAAACGATCGAACAGCCATAATGTACGGCTCTCAGGTCACGGTGGAGGATTATTTTTTGGTCCCCAACCTGGTGGGCGACATCCACCAAACTGTCAGATGGTGTGGTCAGTGGCCGCTGCTGTCAGTCGAGCAGCACTCCTTTAACAATCTGATTAGGGCATGACAAACGAAATGCTTTTCGCACCTGGTTCTCTTAACGCTTAAGGAACATGACCCAGCCGAAGGTGACGGCATTTGTACAAAATAGGTGGTGATGCGTAAATTCGGCTTATTACTTATCTGGTCAACTAGTTTGCTCAATTCCGAGCGTATTCCGGGTCTTCATCGGAAGACGGCCAGACCAAGAAAACGACTTAAACATAACGAATCGTTTTGCGTTGCCTCTACTGTAGGACGTGTTTCAGCGATCCGGCAGTCCGCTTCATTCGCAGTAGAGAAACTGGAGGAATTACGAAGATGGGTACAGAGGAGGTAAAGTGATGAATGGTAGCAGCAGAAGGAATCTTTTACGGATGACTGGGAGAACAGAGGCCTTTGGAACGGCTGAAAACATTGTAGGTGTCAATTCACAGGAACGTTTGTCGCGACCGTCGTCACGACTAAGGAGAGAGTTGCTACTTGGGGGGTAAAATGGCTCAGTGGTTAGAGCGCGAGTTTATTGACCAGAAAGCCCGTCGTTTGAACCCGACCTGCCTCTCAACTGCCCTGTCTAGTAATGTGGCGGTACTTGCCACTATAAGTGAGCTGCATCTGGGAACGAAGACTCAGTAGAACTGGATATGCGAAAAAAAGCAGGATAATATGCGAGTTGATTCAGGTGCACATTTGAGTCTTATTAGTGGAAACGTCGTCGAGCTCCGTAAGTACGAATCAAAACGTACCATGTGTAGTCCCATGTTACGACTGCCGCTTCCTGTTCACAAAATGTTCTTGTGTAGTTTCTTTTCTGTCATTTCCGGACTAGGCTGAAGAGGTTTGCGTGTTTGTTATGGATGTCCATGAGTCAATGAAACTGACATCCACCTTTTACTTTGTTCACTATGCACGCACCAATCGTCTCTTCCTTACCATCGCTCAGTGGTTCGAATCCAAGCCCGGTTTCTTGACTGCTCCTGTGTAGGCTTGGGTAACTTGACTGTATCTGAGCCCTCATGCCTCCTTCGGGTGGCATAACAGCTGGGCACCGGAAGGCTGTTAAAGGTGTACTATTATTTATTCACTGTTTATTATCGTTACCGTTTGGGGCGAGATGCCTCAGTGGTTGGAGCGCGGATTCACAGACTAGAGTGTCCGTGGTTCGAACCCGACCTCTGCTTCCAGACTTCCCCTGTCTAGGCCTGGACAATCCGGCAATATCTCAGCTCTCGTGCTTCCCTCGGGTGGCGTGACAGCTAGGCACCGAAATTGTGTGAAAGGGCGACAATCGTTACCGTTCGTCTTTTGACTAATGGAGCTGTATGTAGCTCAACATCAGATGGGCAAAACAGAACATTTTAAGCAAGCTCGTCTACTGGTGGTTGGTGTTGGACGGTCGGCAGATGCCAACAAAGATGAACATACACACAAGTTGTTCAAACGAGAAGTGCGCATAACAGACTGCTAAAACAGTGGCATGTATTCTTGGCGTCTCATGTAAATGTTGTACCGAATGGCCACGATCCTCCTTGGAAACACTTCTCATAACTATAACTGGAATAGTTTTGTTCAATCGCAGTCGCAAAGGTGAACGAGGGAAGAATATTTTATGCTTCACTTCTGACAACAAGCTAAGAACAGCTAATGATACCGTGCTTTGAGGGGGAGCTTTTTGGGGGTTCAGTCCCAAGTCCGTAGGACAGCTTGAGTGAGTGGCTTTTTGTGTACACCTGTGAGTTTCCTACAAGCTACGATGTCTCGGTCATGCACTACTCAGTCTTGGGTATCCTCTACCGAAAATAACATCCCCACGCCACATTCAGGATAGCACGAACTAACAGGTGATTTGTTTGTGTGTGTGCTGTTCGCCTTCCAACTTTGGTTTCCTTTTCTCTAGCGTGCTCTTGGCTAGATCGATGTGAATATAATGTCTTCCAAGGAAGCCAACGTCAGTTGGCTCACTCCATCATACCTTCTAGCCCACAGCAAACCTACAATAACCTTCGGTACTGTGGCATTGTCGTACTTATTCATTTGTTCCTGTTCTTTCTGAATACTTAGTTTCTCTAAAGTGAACTATGCTCGTTGTTGCTAGACTACTCATGTAGTAGACATGGTTGCTGTTATCTTTTGGCCCGTCCATTTACAGGGATACAAGAGTATTTGAATGAGAATGGATGCACAACAAACCTTTTTGGTGGACCCATGTTTGCCGACTTCACAAAGGCTTTGGATGATATATTAGCCAACTTTCAACCCCGGATCAGTCCCGAAGGTCTACTAATTTGTCGTATTGAGGAAGAACACCTATGGGAGGCGCGACAGTTGGGTTCCCATTCTCCCGAGGTAAGTATCTTTGCGCAGCTTTGTCGAAGCTTTGCATCTGACCGCCTCTCGTTTTCTGTTGTATTCTGAAAACTATGCATGCTTTCTCCATTTCAGATTCTCCTGTTTACCGTACTGTATTTGAATACCAAACACTTTGGGCTGCGTGTTGGTACTATTCACCGCCAGCTAGCGTTCGCTTACTTCCGATTTACTGAGGAACGTTCGAATAACGCTGCTTTACTCTGTCATTTACCCGGTCATCTCTTCGGTGGTGGGGGAGAGGCGTCAACAACTCTACGACTTGATGTCAATGAGGATTGCCCTGCGAGGTGTCCCGTCGCACTGTTCCGAAGTTACTTTTCCCACTGGTGGGTAACGAGATATTGTCGTTCTTAACTTTTCACTTCTAATGTCATTCTTATTCTGTTCTTGCGATTCGACACTCATCTGTTATTAGATACAAGGAAGACTAGATTTACAAGTTTATGAGTGCATGGGGGCAAGGTGGCTCTTTTGTTAGAGCGCGAATTCACCCGACTGGATGGTGCGTGTTTCGAACCCAACCTTCGTATCTGGACTTCTTTCTAGACTTGGGTAACCTGGCAGTATCCTAGCCCTCGTGCTTCCTTCAGGAGGCATGGCACCTAGGCACCGAAAGGGCGTTACAGCTGAGCATTGGTTCATCCCCTGCGCATTATGACTTTCATGCATATTCTGATGGGCTTCTGAGTGAACTTAGATATGGCATTAGTACATCGGCTCCATTTAGTACTAGTTTTCCTGGTCATCGAGTCCATCACTATCGGCTAACCACAACCAGTTGCTTGGACCTGATAGTTGCGTAACCCAGCACTCGATTTGCTGTCATTGCCCGCCTTTCAACTCCATGGCCAAATAAAAAATATGGCAGCACTTTGGTAACACTAATCTCACCATCTGGGTTGTTCCCTCTGTGCGCATCAAAATATCATATTGTTAACTAATGTGAATAGATAGATATTCTATTGGAAGGTATCATTACTATTCCTGTATACATCAATCCATCTGAAAATGAGCCATCTCACCCCCCTTGAATCGATTTTACTCAAGAAGCAAGATCTTTGTCTTCGTTCCATGATTAATATGGGATTAAATAAAGCACACGTTTCAAGGACCGGACGGCAATTTCTAGTGACCTGACTTTTAACGCAACCGTCAGGCTTCTCAACTGCTCAGAGTCTGTTGAATTGGCTGAGCGAATCCATATCTGGAATCCTATCATTACGTCTATCCTGATTTTTTCCAGAGGCATTGTTTAAAAGAACGGTGTGTGTGTGGGAAGATGTCCTGATATAGTGGGAAGAAAGGACACTTCAGGTACTTTTGAATGGCAGTGGACTGCACATATTCGAGCATCATGTGGATTTAAGACGTTACCAGTGAAACCAATCCAGTATCATCCAACACACACGACGCACAATGGAACAAACTTCCGGCCAGGTAGTACCAGAATGCTTAACGGCAAATCATTACCACCCTGTGGGATTTCCAATCGTCGAGGGCCTTAGCCAAGGAAGTTCGAAGATTCCATGGCGCCTCATTAGCTGTTTTCACTTTTCCATTAACATCTCCACACAGTCTTCGTTAGTGAGGGTTTCGAATAGAGGACAGCGCTGTCGTCCATAGACGATTGTTGCACTTGTATAGCAGATGTCGAGACCACACTAACTTGATAACTATCGCTTACTGCTTCAGGGATTCTCATTCGTCACTAAGTTCTGGCTTGCACACCATTAATCACCAACGCCCCTATCGGGCTATTCTTCAAAGGTACTGGTGATCGAATGTTTGGAGACAATACGAGGAAATTGTTACGGTAGTTTTCAGATACACCTAGTTTCTTCCATTGTATGGTCAAAGACCGCTTAGGACTAAAATCCCGAAGAAAGTAAAAATTTGTCGGCACCACTTGAACCTCATCTTAGACAGTGCTCAACACCGATGCTTCGCTGCCGTTCAACCATAATTCATTTGAAAGCTTTATTGTGAGGAAAAAAAATAAAAATAGACGGGGAAGGGACTTAGTGGCAACCTACCATATTCATTCCGAAGTGTCTACACCTCCGATCACTTAATCAAGTAATCTGGGTAGAAGCTGACAATAAGGACGCCATCGACATCAGCTAGCAGATCTCTTATAGCATTTCCAACCAGTGGGTATCACGCGCACTCCATTCTGCTGGGTGAGTCCACCGATAGCACAGATTTTTCGTCATCATTTTCATACCTCTATTAGGTTAAAGGTTGGTCATCTCTGCTTCCGCCACTCAACTGGACCTGCGACAGCGATTTTCGAATAACTCCTCAAGATTTGATTGGTCCATATCGACTTTGGATCGGAACATCGCCCGTACTAAGAAGAAGTTTGGTGTGAACGGAGGTTACAATGAGGATTCTTCAAAAAATGAAGTTGAAACTAACAAGCAGCAACAAATAACGTCAGTAGACGCGATCCAGGTCACTGAGTAACTGAATAATTTGGCTGTGAAGCAACAATCTAAACTCGTGATCAAGACTAATTTCTCATACTGTATCTATACCAGGAGACAAGCACAGGCGAGAACTGACTATTTTATCTGAAAAATACCCTTAGAGTTTTTGCCATTTGTGATCTGATGCACTGTTCCCGTTCATGACCCTCTGAAAATGGTCCGTCCTTCAGGTTGGATGAAAAATCAGTTTCTCCGTGGTAGCCTTTGGGAAATACTTACTGGGGCGGGATGGCCCAGGTGGTTAGAGTGCGAATTTACTGATAGGAAGGTCCGTGGTTCGAACCCGACCTCAGCCTCTCAACTTCCCCTGTCTAGGCTTGGGCGACCTGGCGTTATCCCAGCCCTCGTGCCCCCTTCGTGTGGCGTAGCAGCTAGGCACCGAGCTGAGTGCTTGACTTAATTTTTTTTACTGAACTCCATTTCTCTTTCCTTCCACAGTCCACCACAAGTTCGCAACTCGGACGACATGTTCTATTTGATCCCATCATACCGTCTGGGTCAAAGTGAATACTGGTTTTCCGATACAGCAATGGAGTCGGATGAGTTACAAGTCATCCTGAACAGGATCAAAATGGTAAAAGAAATACAAGAGGCATTTATGAATGGACAACCAGATGGTGGCTTCTAGTCGTCATACACTTTCATCTCACACCAGCTCTAGATCACCTTTCCTGCATGGGCGATTTTTTTCTACCTTGTTTGTATGACTTACTCGTCAGCTCTGTACCGCTCGTCAGGGCACGTTGATGTCTCGCGCCCAATCTCGCGTGCACTCTGTATTTTGTGAACCCTCATTCATAAAGTTTTGTACAAACTTGATGCTCTTATTTGTGCAGCTGCGTCCACTTTTTACATATATACATATATCGTTTATCACATCCGATAAAACATTCGCCCCACTGTGACTTGTTTGTGTGTTAACGCCGCCTATGCTGTGTCGCCGGGTTGTTGAGTGACCAGGACAGGCTCATTGGAAAAAGTTGTACAGTACCGCGGGTCAGCTTGCTCACTGCGCTGTATGCTGATGCTTCACTGCTGTACAGTCATAATCTGATTGAAATGCCTATTGTGAAGGGAAGAAAAATGGATAGGGAAGGGACTTCGTCTATTACAATCATTCCGAGATTCTTACACTTTCAGACACTCAGCAAAACAATCCGGCTAGCAACTGACAACAAGAACGCTATTGAGATCGACCAGGAACCACATCTGCAACCATGCACAGGAGGGAGTTACGAGGACCCCATCCTGGACGGTGAGTTGCTCCGATGGCACCCAGACTTTTTAACGCGTGAACGTGAGCATCTTTCGGCTGTAGGTCAGTCGGCATTAATCATACGCCTCGCGATTATCTGAAGTCGGTGTAAATGCAGTTTTCTAAAAGGGAACTTCCTTGGAACTGGTCAGAATCGGTTTCGGAGGCGTTCTACTTCAAGAGGCGCGGGTTATTTTGTTTTACAAAATATCGGGATTCTTAAGCTTGGTTGGTGTGATCCATATGCCTTTTGAAACAACCGTGGGATAGTGAGAAATTGGTCCACAGTGGTTCTTCCTCAAAGAACACTTCTGAACTGTTCAACTGTCCCCTCTATTAGTGTGTTCTCGTCGGAGGATAGGGTCAAGTCTAACCATGATATCTTGACAGGTTCTTGTGCCAGCAATCACCTGATGGATGCATCCAATACACGTTTTACGCAACAGTCACTAAGGTGAGGTAACCCGTCATGTCGAATGTCGATATCTATGGCTGTACCATATGTCTTGTCTAAAGTGAAGTAATGGGATCAGGCTTCTCGTTCGGTAGTGGACAGAAAATAAGATACGGAGGCGGTTGTAGAGTGTGTTGTACTACAATCGTTTGCGCACCGGAGTAAATCGGTAGTTTCAGTAGCTGACGGAAATGCTCGTTACCATGGGCAATCGGTCTCCAACTAACTGATGGCAAACTAATGCTGCTCTGCATCATTTCTAATGGATCATTCTGGTTGCGCTCATAGGATTGGACGTTGAGGAACATGGATGTATGGTTTTTTCAAAGTGCCTCCGCTTAGAAGCCAACAAAAGACTCGATTGCCAAACGAATTGAAAACCGCAGCGTCATGGCTTATGGTAAATTAGTATTTCTTGATGCAATAGGGAGTAGTTGTGAGGGAGAGGTTTTAGGGATTAGGAATGCTGTTAGGTGTGGGTCAGTCATTTGTTTGATGACGGTTAGATAAATCACCGTTCTGCAGTATTGCTGCACTATCATCACTGCAGGCTCAGTGCATTTACGCTAGGATACTTCCTGTCGTTGCCCACGGTACGCGGTCTCACCCTTCGCACTGCGATTTGAACTTCTCACTTAATTCTCGGGTCTTCTTATTGTCCACGCGTTTATTGTGCGCGGATTCATTAGTCTTTGGTTTTGAAGTTTTATTGGCATGTATATGCACGTGGTATTACAACGCATCATATCTGCCGTGACATCGGCCGAATTCACTGCGTTTTCAGTTAGTGAAAGTCCTGCCTCTTGCGACTCACGTGCGTGACTACACTATCGTGTAAGAAGGTGGAGGACAAATTGAATAACCGAAGAGAGTAGTACTGTGCTGGAAATGTGCACAACGTTAGCAAGGGGAATTGTCAGGCAACAAGACAAGTGCAAACAGTAGGACGGAAATAAACGCTGTCAGCTCCACTGCAGTCAAAGCGTAGTAACTACGAGGCTCTTCTTTAATAGCGAACGCTTGGGTCCCTCGTTTTTAACACTAGGTCAGGGAAAATATGCCCGACTCGAAAAGGCGTCGCTCAAACCCAAGGACGATTTGGACCCGCCCTACTGCACCTTTCCTAGCCAGCCAGGTTTTACTTTCGTTGGTGAGATGGAGGCAAATCAACCTTATTCGAGGATTGGCCATACCTAAAGGGCCAGGGGATGATCTTACCGTGGCCAGGCGGACGCGGTTTGGAAGCGAATTTTCGTGAGTAGTGATATGAGAACAGAGTGGTACGATGCTCCTTTCCCAAGCCCTCTTCGTTAACTGGTCTCCCCAAGACAAATCTATAGAGAGGATGCTCTATTGGAAACAATACCTAGAAACGCTAACCGACACCTGAACTATTGATCACTCACATGGGGCATCAGTGCCACTTTGAATGGTGTCAGTTTTTCGGAGGGGATCGTCGCAGACCACGGTTTAAGGTCTTCCATGTACATTAATCACTAAGTGAACTAAGGGTTTCTATGTCATACTAGATCTTCAAGAACTCATTTTCTAAAAGTGATGCTTGTGGGGCATCGACTCACACGAATCTGCATGAGCGGAAGTTGGCAGTCCACTTTAATGGTCTCGCGCGGTCTGTGTAGGAGTGGAGCGTGGCTTGATTCTGAACTTCGTCGGTTCTGTCATACATATGAGTGTAGCCAGAAGTATTTCTCTTAAACATCACATTATTTCTCAAGCCACAATTGTCGTGACCAGAGCTCGCGCACTGAGGTAGCAGGTGTCTGCACAGTGTGCGGCGAAATCTGTTCGTTCGGAGTAGTGTTTGGAACTGCACCTGATAACATGGGTTGGTGTACGTCGGCGATATTCTTCACATTCAGGAACAAACCAAACTGTGCAGTAGCAGCTATACATGCAGCTGTTCGCGTGTATATGGGCGAGCAGTCGGAGAACCTCATGATGCGAGTACCCCCTGTGTGATGAACAGAATCTCATCAAATCGATGTTCGAACTGTCCATGAAGGTCGCTTCCACGTGGGTCATCACTTAGAGATTGGAAGGGGCAGGTCCAAAGGCACTGCCTCATAGCACGTCCGTGACGATTTTAAATCCGCCATGAGTTGATTCAGAGTTCTCTCTCACTCCTGATTATGTGAGCTTCGATTAAGGTTTTAAAAAATTCGGTCAGCAGCTCTATCTGTGCAAATTAATACGAAATCAGAAGCGTTCTCGAAGTGCGCGCAAAAGTCATGTAGATGCTGAAGATACTCAGTACACTTTGCTCGTAGCTTTGTGCAGTCAACGTCAGATTCACTGCGTTGTGGCCAGCACGGACGCCATCTTATTCTATTGAGGTGTTCGCTTCGAAACATCTAGCACTTAGGCGTTCAGCAGAATTTGTCTGAGCAGATTATTCAACACAACCAAACATGTTAACGATTCCTTGGTTTTCATGTGAAGCTTCACCTTCTTTGTGGAAAGGCATGCCTGTGAAATCCAGTGGAATAAAAGGATGTTTATACCTCCCTTGGGAGTGGGATGGTTAGAGCACGAATTTACTGACCAGAAGATCCGTGGTTCGAACCCGACCTCTATCTCTCGGCTTCCCCTGTCCAGGCTTGAGCAACCTGGCACTATCTCAGTCCTCGTGCTTCCTTCTGGTGGTACGGCAGCTAGGCACCGAAAGGATGCTACCGTTGAACGATTTTTTTTATGCATGCCTCCCTTGTGGCTAGTTAAACGAATGTCCAAATTGTTGAAAATTTGGGTTCCCAAAGTAACATTTGGTCTTAGAATCTGCAGGTAAGTTTCAAAGAGGGCGAAAGATTCAGTAAAAAAAGTTCAATAAAGCATACGCAGATATCAAGCATGGTTTCATGTGCGAATGACACACATTCCATAGTGTTAAGTCTGTCGGTCTGAAGATCAATCCCGTGTTAGTCCACGACTGTATCGTTCTGATACAATGGTTTAGGCGAGAAATCACCGTAATTCATCAACGGAAAGAGCGCTGAGCACCATTTATTGAAATAGTCACAAGTAGTCAAAAGAATTCCCACAGTTTGAGTTCTCTCGACTTGTATTTCTTACGGTAACTAGTACTCTATTCTTTTTTCTCCGAAGTTGGTCATAACTTTTCGCAACGATCTGCTGCTAACTGGATTGGGCCTTAACCTTGGAGTCGTTTTTAACTCCTTCCTTAAAGAGAAAGAAAGTGGTGCCTCAGCTGAGAGCCACCGCCGAGTAGCCATTGGTTCCTGCGAGCTGTCAGAACGACTGGTGCCATAGTATCTACCAGAAAAAATAAGTCTGTGTGCCCCCACTCAGATCAACTACTTGGACGGTGGTCCTTAAAAAAAAAAGCTTATCGAACTAGTCCATGCAACACTTTGAAAGCCACCTCCCTGCGGGACGGTAATCATGATTGTGACCCCACTTCATACGGCAGAGAACCCCGGACGCTGTCTTTCTAAACGTTTACCAAATAAGCAATGGTTCTTAAAACAATCCTTGCCGCTTTTCGATGCTCCATCAGATCGCTAAGCAGAATTCAGCCAGGTCTGTTAGACGTCAGCCCAAGCAAAATCTTCATGCAGATAGAGGAACCTGGTGGGATCAGTGGGCTTTGGAATCGGAGGAATCTAGTGACAAACAGGCGCAGGTCACGAACTCAATCGTCTGTTTATTGGACATGAAAACACCTGAGCCAGGCGGTCGTGAGTGTACGTTGCATCCGATTGATAGATGGTCAGAAGCTGGAACGAACAGAATGTTGACTTAACGATGAGCGCACGCAGACAAGTATACTTGGCGAAGCCGATGCTGGGTAACCAGCCGAACGAGCAATAGCTTTCGATGGCCATCGTGTGCACTTCATAAGCGAGCTGCTAGCACTCTATAAAGCACTGGCAGAGAGGAAAGTTTCCTTTGAAAACAGCATGAGTCTAACAACACCGTCAGTTGCAGTTCCAAGTTGAATTATGGTCGGCCTGCCGCACAGTCAATCCAGACGTATACCGTTGACTTTCCAAGAGAACTTCAACTGTGGCCTGCTAACTTTGGATAGCATCCAATTCGTTGATGGATATAGCGAACACTCGGGTTTCGACAGCTTCCACATGACTCCCCTCATGTATGGTTGGAAACCATGCACGACGTGGCACTTAACCAATCCCAGTGGCGACCTTACTT